GCACCTTAGAGACTAACAAATTTATTAGAGCATATATGCATCCGAAGAAGTGGGCTGTAGTCCACGAAAGCTTATGCTCTAATAAATTTGTTAGTCTCTAAGGTGCCACAAGTACTCCTGTTCTTCTTTTTAAGTTCAAGAAAGTTTTCAGAGTAGCAGCCATGTTAGTTTGTATCCGCAAAAAGAAGAACAGGAGTACTTGTGGCACCTTAGAGACTAACAAATTTATTAGAGCATATATGCATCCGAAGAAGTGGGCTGCAGTCCACGAAAGCTTATGCTCTAATAAATTTGTTAGTCTCTAAGGTGCCACAAGTACTCCTGTTCTTCTTTTTGCGGATACAAACTAACATGGCTGCTACTCTGAAAACTTTCTTGAACTTGGGGACAGTCAGGCAAGGAGTCAGCCTTTCCTCAAATTTACAGTTCAGTTATATTAACAGGGGTAGGCAACCTGCGGCACATGAGCTGATTTTCAGTGGCACTCACACTCCCTGGGTCCTGGCCACTGGTCCGGGGAGCTCTGCATTTTAATTTAATTTTAAATGAAGCTTCTTAAAACATTTAAAAAAACCTTATTTACTTTACATACAATAATAGTTTAGTTATATATTATAGACTTACAGAAAGGGACCTTCTAAAAATGTTAAAATGTATTATTGGCACGCAAAACCTTAAATTAGAGTGAATAAATGAAGACTCGGCACACCACTTCTGAAAGGTTGCCGACCCTTGTATTAGCATATGGGCATTAAAGTATGCAGGAAGCCTGAATGTGCAGTTTGCTTGAAAGTCTATTGACAGTAAGTACTGAAAAGAAATGGTATAATTTCACAAGACTAACAGGCACTGCAAAATACTTGCTTCTGATTGTGACATCCCATGAAACACAGGCTGCAGAACTCCTCATAAGTCGGAGTACTAATACAGTGAAAAATATGAGCAAGATGTACACTGTTATATTTAGCAAGTAATGTTAATGGCTAAATACATATTGACACTTACCTGTTTTTCTTTATTAAGGGATTCTTCTAGACTAAGAACCATAGCTCTGTACTGTTCCACATTACTAGTAGTAGTCTTCAGTCTTTCCTTCAGGTCATTAACTTGTTCCTCAGCTTGTCTTAGTCGACTAACAAGATCATCCACATCCTCATTTGCACTAGACTGTCCTAAGATATAAAAATGCATAAATTTAATAAACTAGAACTCAGTCTTTAAGATGTAAATTATATCCAAGTTATACCTTCTGAAGATAAGATAAGCAGTGGCATTGCTTTGTGATTTTCACAGGAAGCAACTTAATTTCATTAGATATTACCCTGGCTGTACATATTAATTTTTGTAGTGCTGCAAGGGAGAAGTGAGATGAGACAGTACACACGAGGGTAGTCTGGTAAGACTAGCCTTATAATTAGAGCCCTGTGATTTTCGCAAATATGAAGTCACATAAAATAAAATGAAAAACGTATACAAAACAGAATAAAGCAACTGTGCCCTCCTGCCCCAATACCTCACCCTGCAGGGGTGCACCTGCCCCACAGGGCTGGGCCCAGTTCCCTGCATTGTGACCTGGTGCATGGGGTCGCAGTGCTGCCAGGCTTGGCCCAGCCATCTCTCTATCATGACGTGATGCGGTCTCCAGGCCAAATCTGAGTGAGTGGTGTTGCAACCAAAATTTGCAGTACTATTTGCTCAAATTTGGCCCAACTGCCCTCCTACTGTCATGATGGCCAGGTAAAACTTGAGTGGTGTTGTAACCCTGTCCACCAGGTCACAATGCCTGGAACGGGAAGCTGGACTCAGCCTCATGGGGCAAAAACCACTGCTGCAGCAGAGCAAATGTTGGGTGGGCTCACCCTGAAACCCCACAAGGCCTCCCACCTCCCATGGGACATGAGAACCTTCTCAGCCTCTTACCGCCCCATGGAAGGATCCTCTGCTACTCCTGCTGGGATGGATAAAACAAAGTAACACAAAATTTCCCAAAACTAAATGAAAAACTATAAAAAGTTTTAACAAATGTCATGGGTCTCTACTTATAATCTTACTATCTCTGTAAATGTTTCTTTTTAAAAGATAAAGTGCCCTTTCATATTTGGAGGAAAATGTACACATTAAATTTGAATATTTTTTAAAAACATAGAATTTTTGGGATATTATAGGAATAAAAAAGTTTTTTTTTTTTAAAGTAAGAAGTTTCAAGGTTCATAAATTTCTTAAAAACACAGTCAAACCAAATTATTTTCCAATGATTAGAAGTTTTCCTTTAAGGCTCAGAACAAACATGAGAAATTTCAAGCCAAAAGGATTTTTTTTTTAGAAAATCCTAAGCACTAAAAAAAAAGTAATAGTTCATGAGCTAAGTCCTTTCTCATCTGTAACTATTGCTAAAATAAGAATATATAGATCTAAATGTTGCACAGTGGAACAAATTAAAATAAATTCATAACCAAAACATCATAAAATCCTGTATCTTAAACACACAACTAAAACATACATGAAAACAGGACTTTTAAAAAAGTTAGTTGCTATCTGTTGAAAGTATACATCACAAAATCTACCGCTTTTAAAGATATAAGGTAAAACACTGGCCCTAGTGAAGTCAATGGAAGTTCTGCCATGAACTTCTGCGGAACCAGGATTTCACCCACAATCTTACATTGCAATTATGACATAAAATGCAAGTTCAGAAATTTCCACCCATTACCCTAAGCAATTAATTAGGATGGTGAGGATGAGGAATTAGAAGATCAGATGTATTTAAAAAATAGCATTTCACATAAAGGTAAGCTTTCAAGTCTACGTAGGAGACCTATTGATTTGTCCTGTTTTTAAGTATGGTCCATCTGAATTCTTTTATATCTCACATTGGTCAAACTGTATCTGAACATGTTGGAGTAATCAGAATGAGGTTTTCTGATTTCAGAGACTGTGTGTAAATCTAGGAATACAACACTGGACATAAATCAGTCTAGTCTCCTCCTTCATCAGGCAGCTTTCAAACTGGTAAATGTTTCAATAAGTCACTGTTTCACTTTACCTTTCCCAGGAGCCTGCTGCGATGTCTGGGAGGCTAACTGAGCTTCAGTATTATTCAGCTGCTGTTTCAATGTGGCAATCTCTTTTTGGGCATTCTTCAGCAGTTCCTTTGTGTTAAGGTGACGGTTCATTTCAGTCTCAAGTTGTCTCTTAGTATCCAACAGATGAACCTGTAAAGGCAATGTTCTTGAGTCTGCAATACCTGACACATTGCATAAAAATCCAACATAATTAATACAAGACAAAAATATAATGATTAAGCAGATCTTGTAAGCTGGTAAGCAATTTCATTTATTTTTCTCTTAAACATCAATTAGAAAAAATTGCTTACAAGTACTCACATCTTGGTTTTTGGTAAGCACGTGCCTTTGTTCCACCTCATTCTCTAGTTTCTTCTTTAGTTGAGATATCTCACGCTCTAGTTTCTCTACCTGGTTGTTGAGTCTTTGTTTAGTCTCTGTCTCGGACCTCTCCAATATCACCTGATAAAAGCACAAAATGCAATTGCTACCATGTGGAACAATTCAGACAAGTAAATAAATCCTAATCACTTAGTAGGAGTTAACTCCACACCATTCCCGTTACCGTCACCCCCCACAAAAAATTACTCACCACACAGTATGCTGTATCAAGTATCAAGATGTTACAACTAACACAGCAGAACTTGTTACCACCATGAAAAATGAATTTTTACTGCCTGCCAAATTTTTCTCTAGTAAAATTTCTTGTAACTACACAAATCAAACGGCATGTATTTTAAAAAAGATGTGTCATTAAAGAAGCATTCAGTCATCATTAATGATGAATTTGTTAAGAATGTTATCTTAAGCAATTATTTATGAACGAAGTATTAAACACATCACAGCGTAACAGGAAAACAAAATTAGTAGGTCAGGCAGTGACCAGAATCAAGTTTGTCAGAGTTAATGAAACAAGTAATCACTTTTTTGATCTGATCCACAATTTATAGTCACTTGCATTTTAATGGTTATATCATCAATGGAAGGAGAATAAGTTCTTGTCTTTTGAAAAGTGCATAAAAACGATGCCCATACTGAAAACAGTATTATTGCTCACTGATGAAATTGCTAAGTAACATATTCAAGTAATGAATGTTTATTTATGACTTGAAACAATGATTGCTGTTTAATGGCCTGATCCAATGCTTATTGAAGTCAATGATTTCATCAGGCATTGGATAATAGCATGTTTCAAGATATTTTCATCAGTATTTTTAAAGCCTTGAATATAACATGCCAAGTCATTATACTAATGCTTGAAAAATCTGACAAAGGAAGTGTTACACATTTAGTGTTATCAGTTGAAAAGACTCTGTCTCCAGTTCACATGGTTTTTGCATCCAACAAAAAGGATGGCATTTGATTATACCTGAATAGTTCGCAGATTAGTAAGCAGTAAATTTTGTCCCCTTTGCTCAGCTAATAAAGATTCTCGCTGCTGGGTCAGACGAACTTCAGCCATCTTCAAGATATCCTTCTCTTTTTTCAAGTTGTCTGCTCTCACCTTTAAAAGAGCAGATTACAAATCAAAATTTAGCATTTTAACAGCAAATCTGTGCATTAGTTAATTTGGGCAAAATTTACCTACTGTATAACTTCTTGAAAAACAATCAAGATAAGTAACCAAAGCCAGTCAAGTACTCTTCTAAATGTTAAATTTCTGAAATTTAAGCCAAATTACAATCTAAGTAAATAAGGCTGGAATTACAAAACTTTAGCTTGCTGACTAACATTAGCCAAAAGCAAAAGCTTCACTCTATTCATCAGTTGAAGAAAACCGCCCTTAGAACAGTTTACTGAATCTCTCACTATTTGTGATGGTAAATAAAATATCTCACATATACATGTTCCAACACTGACATGATTTTAACAACCAGTGTTTTCACAAGGCATGAAGTTAAGAGATTTAGTACTAGATTCCACTGAATTAAAAATTTCAGGTAGTGAGATGCACTGGTTCAAATTCTAACCGTTTTCAAGACAATGGAATAGAAATTTACTTTGTCATTATACTAAATTTGAAGTGTACACGAATACAGGTTGCATGAAAATGTTGTACAATCACCTCTGCCATAGCCAGCTTTTCATTAGCTCCTCTTAAGTCCTGGGTCATGGTGTTAATTATCTGTTCCTGTTTTTGAGTTGTTGCTGTGAGCTTTTGAGTTCTCTCCTGAAGGGATGTTATTTCTCGACGATATCCCTCAACATTATCCTGCAGCATCTCATAACTTTAAATGAAACAAACAAAAAAAAAGGTCGTTTATATTCCTGAGTTAAATGACTTGCACTGAATTACAAGGTGGGTGCATACACTCACATGAACATGCTATGTTTTCATGTACCAGTTTGAAGCATGATTTACAGAGATATTAGCCTTGTAAAAGGTTAGCTGAATTGGAAAAGAGAATGCAAATTAAATAGGTTTTTCTAAAGCACTGCTCCATTTCATATCAAGTTTCTGAATATGATGCATGGTATTAACTCAAATATTCAAGTATGGCTAGTTCTTAACAAATAACGACCAATTAACAGAGGCTAAACAGACCCTTCTCTTCCACTTACTAAAGCTCCTATGGCTTTAAATAATGTAAGGTTTCTCTCGCTCTTTAGCTTTAATCCAGTAAATTGTATTTCAAATAAAGGATCCAAAGTTTCATGTTTGGGTTGTTCCCTTGCTGGATTTCTTGGTTTTTGTTTTTAAATAAAGAATTTATTAGGGGCTCCCACTTTGGATTAAGTAACACTGGTACTTTTTTATTTTTTTTATTTTTTTGAAGTAGCAACATGCTATCCGTTTTGGGCTTTTTGTGGAATTATAAAGTTGCCATGTAACAATGCACCTACATTTGCCTGTGTGTGGCCACTGCATTCTCACTCAATTGGAAACATGGGTATTTTATTGGCAGTTCATATCAACAAACATACTATATAGTCTAACACCAAGCAATTAGCTTGTTTTCTCACATGTAAGACAGGAAAATGGAGTTCTACTTGGAAATGTAATAATCACCAACTTACCGTTTGGAGGCAAATTCAAGTTGGGTGGACATCTTAGCATTCTGTGACCGCAAGTCTGTGACTTGCTCCTGAAGTTTTTCATTTTGTTCATTTAGCAGTTTGTCATTCTCTGCCTTTTCTTTTCTGTAGTTCTCAAAAACTTCCCGCAACTACAGCAAGCATTAAGGAACAGTCGTTAAGAAGATTACAAGGTGAAAAAAAACCAAATTATTTGAAATGTTTATTAAAAAACCACAGTGTACCTGTTTAAGTGCAGCCTTAGCCTCTACTGCCTCTGCTGACTCAGTCATTGATACTGGAGCAGGAGTTGACATGGCCTGAGGCATACTTGAACGTTTTGGGGTTGATGTAAAAGAAATCTCCTCTGGCAACATACTTGAAGCTTTATAAAAATTAAAGCTACATTTTAAAATCACCAAATATACAAACAGAAGATTGAATATCAGTCACTTGGTGTTGGGCAGGCTAGTTCTAAGAGCAAAAAACTTATATATTTCATATTTTCCATATGCCATCTAATGATAAACACTGAACAACATAGACCAACTAAAAAAAGGTTCCAATCCTCTCCATAAATCATTTTAGAAAGCTATCAACTACTGTGGAAACTTATGAGTTGCTAACACAAGCCTAACCTTGCACTGGAATGACAACTCCAGTTGTCTGAGCTAACAGTACGCGGTACATATCACGCTGACGAACTATAGAGTCTACAAGCTGCAGTTGAACATGACGTGCTTCACGCAGTTTCTCTAACTCATGGATGGCTTCCTCAAGTTGACTCTGCAGCTCAGAAATTCTGAAACAGAGAAAAGACAGGATTTTGTTTTCTTTTTAACTGTATTTAGACAGCAACGATTATTAGCCAAGGTGGCATTTTTACAGAGGCATTTAAACTACGTAATCACAAGAGGCCTTCAAAACCGTTTATTCCATCCTTTGAACTTTAATTAGTATCACTGGGAGTTCTGAGCAAAGATACAGGGACTGGACAAGGCCCGGACAAGGCCCTTGGACTTTAACAAATTTTCTTTTAAAACGTGAGCAAACATAACTCAGAGTCACATATCTGCAGATAACCTACTGCTCATCTTATCTGAGCTCTCAGTTGTTTTAACTTTTAGGTACAATTATAGTACCTTGTTAAACTGACAACACAGAAACATGTTCCGCTATGCCACTGATTAATTTGACTGGGGAAATAGAGATTCCCTCCTCTTAAGCAGGGGGAAGGCTATATGCCAGTCAATTGGCTGGCTACCTCTTCCCCACATATATTGACGGGATAAATTGGATACTACAAGGAAATAAATTCTTGCACTCTGCTTGCAAGAGGATCTTCCTATCCCCTGGCAATGCTTTTAGGCTTTGACTTTATTGCAGCACAGCTGGACTAGTATTTGGTGGCCAGGGTGCCAAGTCTCTTGTCACATTTCCTGCCATGCTCTAGGCCAGTGGTGAGCAACATGCGTCCCACAGGCCGCATGGGGCCCATCAGGGTAAGCTGATTGCGGGCTGCGTGACATTTTGCGGATGTTGACCGTCTGCAGGCATGGCCCCCCGCAGCTCCCAGTGGCCACAGTTTGCCGTTCTGGCCAATGGGAGCTGTGGGAAGCAATGGGCTGCAGGGATGTGCTGGCCGCTGCTTCCCACAGCTCTTATTGGCCGGCAATAGCGAACCACGGCCACTGAGAGCTGCGGGGGGCCGTGCCTATGGACAGTCAATGTCCGTAAAATGCATCGTGACCCGCAATCAGCTTACCCTGATGGGCCGCATGCGACCCACAGGTTGCCCGCCACTGCTCTAGGCTATGGCTGATTGGCATTGATCCCCATATCACGGACCCGCTTAAGAGATGGGATTTTTTCACCTTCCATGAGCATCCACTATGTGTACGCCACAGGTTCATAGGTTTTGCTATTATTTAGGTTTTCTTCACATAGTTTCAAAGTACCTGTAACTTTATGGAGGCAAGAGACATTATTAGTGGCATCAGAGCAAACTATCCCACTGCGTAGGAAAGATTGGAAGTATGTCAAGAGACCACCCTGGCTTAACCAGGAAATCAAAGAGTCCTACAAAAAGTGAAAACTAGGTCAAATTACAAAGGATGAATATAAACAAACAACACAAGTATGTAGAGGCAAAACTAGAAAGGCCAAGCCACAAAACGAGATCAAACTAACTAGAGACATAAAGAGTAACAAGACAACATTCTACAAATACATTAGAAGCAAGAGGAAGACCAAGGACAAGGTAGGCCCATTACTTAATGACGGGGGTGTGGGAGGGAACAATAACAGAAAATGTGGAAATGGCAGAGGTGCTTAATGACTTCTTTGTTTTGGTTTTTACCAAGGTTGGTGGTGATTGGACATCTAACATAGTGAATGCCAGTGAAAATGAGGAAGGATCAGAGGCTAAAATAGGGAAAGAACAAGTTAAAAATTACTTAGACACATTAGATGTCTTCAAGTAACCAGGGCCTGATTAAATGCATCCTAGAGTACTCAAGGAGCTGACTGAGGTGATATCTGAGCCATTAGCGATTATCTTTGAAAAGTCATGGAAGATAGAAGAGATTCCGGAAGACTGGAAGAGGGCAAATATAGTGCCCATCTATAAAAAGGAAAATAAGGACAACCTGGGGAATTACAGACCAGTCAGCTTAACTTCAGTACCCGGAAAGATAATGGAGCAAACAATTAAGCAATCAATTTGCAAACATCTAGAAGATAATAAGGTGATAAGTAACAGGCAGCATGGATTTGTGTCAAGAACAAATCATGTCAAACCAACCTACTAGCTTTCTTTGACAGGGTAACAAGCCTTGTGGATGGGGGGAAGCAGTAGACGTCGTATATCTTGACTTTTGTAAAGCTTTTGATATGGTCTCACATGACCTTCTCATAAACAAACTAGGGAAATGCAATCTAGATGGAGCTACTATAAGGTGGGTGCATAACTGGTTGGAAAACCGTTCCCAGTGTAGTTATGAGCAGTTCACAGTCATGCTGGAAGGGCATAATGAGTGGGGTCCTGCAGGGATCAGTTCTGGGTCTGGTTCTGTTCAATATCTTCATCAATGATTTAGATAATGGCATACAGAGTATACTTATAAAGTTTGCAGACGATACCAAGCTGGGAGGGGTTGCAAGTGCTTTAGAGAATAGGATTATAATTCAAAATGATCTTGACAAACTGGAGAAATGGTCTGAAGTAAACAGGGTGAAATTCAATAAGGATAAATGCAAAGTACTCCACTTAGCAAGGAACAATCAGTTCCACACTTACAAAATGGGAAAAAGCTGCCTAGGAAGGAGTACTGCAGAAAGAGCTCTGGGGGTCATGGTGGACCACAAGCTAAATATGAGTCAACAGTGTAACACTGTCGTAAAAAAAGCAAACATCATTTTGGACTATATTAACAGGAGTGTGGGCAAGACATGAGAAGTAATTCTTCTGCTAACTCCGCGCTGATTAGGCCTCAACTGGAGTATTGTACCCAGTTCTGGGCGCCACACTTCAAGAAAGATGTGGACAAATTGGAGAGTCCAGAGAAGAGCAACAAAAATGATTAAAGGCTAGAAAACATGACCTAAGAGTGAAAAAATTGGGTTTGTTTAATCTGGAAAAAAGAAGACAGAGGGTACATGATAACAGTTTTCAAGTTCATAAAAGGTTGTTACAAGGAGGAGGGAGAAAAATTGTTCTTCTTAACCGCTGAGGATAGGACAAGAAGCAGTGGGCTTAAATTGCAGCAAGAGAGGTTTAGGCTAGACATCAGGAAAAGCTTCCTAACTGTCAGTGTGATTAAGCACTGGAATAAACTGCCCAGGGAGGTTGTGGAATCGCCATCATAGGAGATTTTAAGAGCAGGTTAGACCAATACCTGTCAGGGATGGTCTAGATCAGGGGTTCTCACAACAATTTTTTTGGTGGCCTCATAGTGCAATTTTTCCTAAAACACTTAATTAACTTTAGGAAAAACAAATGAATATGCACATAAATAAATTACAATCATTTGGACACGTATGTAGGATTTTTTTTTGCAGACTCAATAATAAAAATAATGTAC